TGGATATAATCATATATGATTTAATATATATAAGATTATATTTCGATTTTCATTACCTATAAAACATCTAAAGTGCTAAAAATCTATAATGCACGTAATGTACACTATAAATTTTTAGTATCAGCAGTAGTATATTCGGTATATTTATTACCATATATTTAGTATTGATATTAAAATGAAGCGCCTCGCACAATTTTTAACATGGCTAACTGTAGGACACATAGATCAAAGGTACCGACACGGAGGAGGTGGTGAAGGGAGGAAGAGAAGTCTGTGGGGGAAAGGAGGTGGTGAAGGGAGGAAGAGAAGTCTGTGGGGGAAAGGAGGTGGTGAAGGGAGGAAGAGAAGTCTGTGGGGGAAAGGGGGTGGTGAAGGGAGGAAGAGAAGGCTGTGGGGGAAAGGAGGTGGTTACGGGAGGAAGAGAAGTTTGTGGAGTGAAGGAGGAGGTAAAGGGAGGATTGTGGGCTGAGGGGGGTGGTGACGGGAGGAGGAAGAGTTTGTTCAGAGAAAGAGGAGGTGGTGACGGGAGGAGGAAGAGTTTGTTCAGAGAAAGAGGAGGTGGTGACGGGGGAAGATGAATGGGGTTCTATGAATGGGGGAGGAGTAGGAATCTCATCCAGGGAAAGGGGAGGAAATCTCTCGTGCATTGGGAGAGGGGAAATCGAAGGGGAATCAAGGGGAGTTAGAAGGGGGAATTTGGTGAGGTCTAAGGGGAATTCCGAGGAATCGACAGGGGAGTAGGAGGGTTCCGGATATTGTACTTGTGTAGGTGTGGGTGTACGTGTGTCCGTGGCGGGCTGAGCGGAGGGAGGCGTAACAATAACTGACGGACGCGATGTAACGTCTACGGGTAGAGGCGTCGGCGTAATATCTACGGGTAGATGCGTCGGCGTAATATCTACGGGTAGAGGCGTCAGCGTAATATTTACGGGGAGAGGCGATTGACAGAGTCGCGAACTCCGGCGTCTCTTCGAGTAAGGGCCTCTTGGGCGGGCCTCTCTAGTGGCACCCTGAGTGCGCATTGTAACCCGAAAGAAAGGTGGCGGCGATCAGTCCCTCACAGCAATGACCTGGTCCACAGCGGAATCTGCTGAAGGCAGGTTTCAAAGACCTTCGGAGGCGGACGGTCGGTCGTGGATGGTCCTGGTGGACTTCGACGAAGCCTCGGAGGCGCACGGTCGGTCGTGGATGGTCCTGGTGGACTTCGATGCACTGATTCTAACCGACCACCAGATCTTGGTCAGTTGACTCGGGCGATGCCTCGGACAACTGACTGTCGACCAAAGAGGTGACTTGAACGAACAAGAGAGACCGGACAGTCGACTCGGGCTTATCGCCTCGGACAACTCACACGGTGGTGCTGAAGAATACTACTGACGCTGTGCGCTTCCGAGGGCCTCGTATTTATATCCCAAAAGGGCGTGCTTTTCCTTTGTCTGGAAATTTTTGCAACGCTAGCAACTTGTGACATGATTTACGATTTTTCTTAATTCGTATCGATATTGATATCAAGCGTCTTCTAGGAAGAGCTCCGAGAATAAAGGATTTTACGATTTTTGCTAGTCCTATCGAGGTTGATCTCGCGTGTTCTCGGGGAGTTAAGAAAAATAAAGTAATTTACAATTTTTCATGAGGGTTTTATGCGTAGGAAATTACAGTCGGGACCACGTCGCGCTTTGTTATAGAAAAAATATATGACCAGAAGAGTCGTCGGTTTCCGCGCTTCATTTATTAGATGTCAAATGAACATTGCTGTGGGAAATTCTCTAAGAGTTTTACGATTTGGCACAATGGACATGGCGCCAGTTATTTTTTTAAGCTAGTTTTCTTAGAGTTCCCAGATGATACCTTAGAGTGTTCGTTATCTAATGACCGCTTAGAAATATGTGGTTTCGCAATTTTTATCGCCGTCAGCCCTTTGTACGCAAGTTGTTTTCCTCGTTTTATTTTTCTTTTGAGTGGCATTTACGAGTTTCCCAGCGCGTGGTGTTTACTTAGGTCTCGATTATCAGATATCCGCGCTCGGGCCCTTCTCGTAAATTTCACTCTGGTCATGACGCTGACCAAGATCCTTGGAAAGAAAAGAATCATGGAGTCTACAGGACGTAACAAATTAACGTGTCGA